TTTTTTTGTCCATTGAAAAGTCAGTTTTTATCTTTGCCAAGCTGGTGATTTCAAGTTAAAAACATGTTTGCCAAGACGGGAAAATCGAGGGTTACTATTCGCCACTAACATTTCCAAAATTTCTCAAGGGAACTCTATTACACACTCCTTTCACGGAGGTCATCCAGGAAATCCATCCTCTTGATGAGCAAACTAGCATCTGAACGACGGCCTTTGCTACTTGGATGTTTTTAAAATTCATACTCTGAAAAACCTCCCAGAGCTGCATAATGAATAATTGAAATAGACCCAGAGAGCATCACAAGTGCACTTGGAAATAAGGCGGTAACATGGGTAATGTAAATAACTCAGAAAGACAATGCTTTTGAAAATGATATCCTGATCTGTTGTCATTTAAATCTAGGTCTTCTGGTTGTTTGAATCAAATGTCATTTTTTTGTTTTGCTTCTGCTTATTGAAATTTGTAAAAGTGTTTATTGATGTGAAGATATTGCATCTGTCTACAGCTCATAATGCACAGACATATCCATCAAATGTGAACAAAATGACAATGAAGATCTTGACTCTATACACAATTGCACATGTACACATCCGTAAGCCCACTCTACTTTACCCCAATAGAAACTTTCCCAAAGATCAATCAAAAGCGACTAGGAGGCTCGAGACCCGGCCTTTCGTCGCAGTGAGCAAAGTAAACTAAACCAAACTGAATTGTGGAGGCCCCAGTACCAGCTACGGAGGCAAAAAAATGATTTCTATGCTTATGGGTTTTTTACTCATGGGGGAGCTACTCATCCCCTAGCGATGGGCTTGCACATGGCGCTGATTAGTGTCCATTGAAAGTTGGAATCCAAAGAATGTGAAACCTTTGGTTTTCTGGAAAGTGGAGAATCTGAGAAGAATTTAGGAAGGTAAATTAAGGGTTTAAACGCTCTAGGCTGGACCTGTATCCAACAAAGGCAAGTTTTATGAGAATTATGTGCCTGTTGACAGGAATCTACTAAATCTTTATTAATTTGTCCAAATTTAATCCATTTTTACAAGCCTACACGTACCTTATAATTTTAAAGTGTTGTCTCAAAAGTACCAATGTGAATCTATTTCTGCACTTGTTTCTGATGAATTTAAGACTTTAGAACTTATTAAAGAAAGTGCCTGAAATCATGCTATTTTGTTGTTGCAATCACAATTATTTCTAATAATGGAAATACACGGACACACCAAACATTCAATACACCATTAAAAACCTTTTTCTCATACAAACATGAAATGGAATACAAACACAGAATACAAACTGTGAATCATGCCTCATCATTGCCTCTTCCCAAATTAAGGGTGCAGACCACTAATTCAAGTGAGAGTTTCTGGCCAGCTCATTAGCATTAAAAGTGCCCCCACAGTATTTTTTGAAAAGGAGATTGTTTGGCCCCCAAAATGGTGAGATTGTGTAAAGCGTTGCCAGGATCAACTCCCTGGGTCTTTGAGCTTTCACGCAGAAGGGCCAATAACTATGGTTGAAAAATGGTCGTAAGTGCCCGAGAAAGTTGAGGGTTGCCACTTGAGAAATGGCTGCAATCAGTCTTCGGAAAAATCACTTTTGGGGGGGTGATTACGGTTTTGTGGGAATAATTATAAATGTAATTGGTTATCCCACAAAAAATTGAAAAGAAATTGAAAGATTAGTGACCAGACAAGAATTTCATTTGTGTTTCGGAAATCTCAGGGATGTTGGCGTGCATGTTATTAGGCCCTTAACAGTGCTAGGCTGATTTAATACTGTTTTCAAAGGGGCTTGAATCAGTGGACTTACCCTTAATAGCCCAACCAGGCAGAAACCAACATGGCAACCGGGGTCAGAAGGTTAAAGGTCACCAGGGTGGCCCCGTTGCAGAGGTCTTCTTTGCAGCAGTGCCTACAACCACCGATGGTGGTGCCCTGCACTGACCCACAAGCGTTGGGGCAATACGGATTCTCTGAAGTGTCACATTTCCGCTCTACTCCAACCAGACCACCAAGTCCACCGCTCGCTTTCTGAAGGGACAAAACAAGAAAAAAGTGGTTTTGAGGGGACCAGGAGAGAAAGAAATGAACGACGTGTGCCCTGTTGGCGCCTTCGACCTTGTCATTTCATTGTCAGTGGTATAGGAGTGAATTTACTTAACCCTCATATAATTTGGACTGAAAAATCCTTCCACATGATTGCAAAATCTATACAATTGGAAGGGTTTATGTAAAGGTATATTTTTGTAAAACCAAATTGCACTATTGTGTATGAGGCCTGCCTGAAGGAAGATTGGTTTCACATCTGTGCATGGCTAGAGAGTGCCAGTCAAGCATGATTAGCAAAGCAGTGGAACCAGTATCTCATCTGGTTCCCTGCCTGCCTGAAGGAGGATTGGTTTCACATCTGTGCATGGCTCAGCTAGAGAGTGCCAGTCAAGAATGATTAACACTAGCAG